ACTCTCTGTAGAGGAATATTGAATGGCAGAGAAACACTTAAAGAAATGCTCAACCTCATTAGCCATTAGGGAAATGCAAATCAAAACGACCCTGAGATTTCACCTTACACCCATCAGAATGACCAAGATGAAAAACTCAAGTGACAACACATGTTGGAGAGGTTGTGGAGAAAGGGGAATCCTCCTCCACTGCTGGTGGGAATGTAAACTTGTACAACCACTCTGGAAATCAATCTGGTGCTTTCTCAGACAACTAGGAATAGCGCTTCCTCAAGATCCAGCCATACCACTTCTAGGCATATATCCAAAAGAGGCTCAAGTACACAATAAGGACATTTGCTCACCCATGTTTGTAGCAACTTTATTTGTAATAGCCAGAAGCTGGAAACAGCCCAGATGCCCCAGTTTTCAAAAACACACAAAGATTATTGATTCAGAATATTTCCAAAGGATATGGTGTATATACAGTGACCTGCTTTTTGTCATGAGGATTTCTAAATACTGTTCAAACCATGAGAAATCTCAAGTTGTCACTGCTCCCTTACAATGGCTGGATTTTTGTTCTCCCCTCTCCACAGATGTCTCTGTGATGTTCTGTACTCCATGTACTCATGAATATCAAACAGTATTTTAAAAATAACACAGACATCATGAATTCCTGTGGTTCTCTGTGGAATGTCAAAACATACAAGATGTCTGGGATTGTACCATTACTGTAGTGGAAATCCCAAGGCAGGACTGAGATGGTGTACAACTGGCCCTGTTGGGTAGGAAAAGAAGCCTTCTGCCTTTAGTGGTTGGTAAGGAGTAAAAGGCAAGCAGGTGACCACTTACCAGGTGCTGCAGTAGGTCACGAGAGCTGGGAGGCAGTTTCAGTCAGAGTAACTGCCCGAGTAATTTCAGCATCAACCCCATTCTCCAACACACTTCTGCTTATTCTAGCCAGGTGAATGCAACTGGCTTGATCAACACTTTGTTGGTCTCTGCAGTGGCACTTGAGATATAGAACTGATTCTGTTTTGCTGTCCTGTAAGGGGAGGGAGATGCAGGCCCTTATACATAGACCCTCCCACCAATGTGACCCTGACTCCATGATCAGGGATCCATTGTGGTTCTGCCCAGTTCCCCTTATACCTACTGTGTTATATTCTCATCGATCAGCAGTGACACCTGAATACCACCTGAGAGAGGGCTGGGAGAGAAAGAGAGAGACAGGGTGACACAGAGAAGAACACCAAGTCTACATGCTGATCTTAGGTGTCAGTTTAATGGGCGTCAGGTTAACACTTAAGTAGGCAGGAAAGTACAAGCAGTTTCTCACACAGGCAATTTTACTTAGCCAAAACACAAGAGGGCTTACCCAAGGTTACACAGAACCTGCGGTCTGGTTACCATGGTAGCAAGGAATTTACTATCTGGTTCTCAGGGTCGAAGCCTTCTTCTGAAGGACTGTCACAGACAGTCTATGAAAGACTGGACTTCGGATTAAACCCAGAGCCAAGAGGCCAAATTCCACTGCTCACATGCCATTAACTCCAAATGTGCCATTACCTCCAAAAGGCTGCCACATTATATAGTCTAGCAGGAGAGCCATAGCAAACAAGAGCATCTGTAGGCCAAGGGATGGGTCTGAGGCAAGCTGTCTTCTGTTACCTGATGTCAAGAAGCACCTGTGTTGACTTGCCAGGATTATTAGTCCTAAAGATTAACAGCCACTTAAAACTGACATCTGTGGGTGTTGTTTTTTCTCCTGCCCAGAGTCAGTGTAGATAACTGCTCTAAATACTCTACAGTGAGATCAGGAATAGAGCTAAAATACATGCTGAGAGTTGGGCATAGCTATAATTCAGCTGATCATAAGGTTGAGCCAGGAAGAGTCTGAGTATAAGGCCGGCCTGAGCACCAAAGTAAGATCTTGTTTTCAATAAATAAATAGATAAGAGTTATACATGTGTATATGTATATGTACAAGTAACAGTTTGTGGAATTGGGTAAGAAGTCATATCTCCATTGGGTTGCCTCTGAATGGTTTATGGGTCAGGACTTGAAATATTTTTTTTCTCCTATAGGTTAGTATACAGAAAAAAAAAATCATGTAATAGGCTTAGAAGCCACTTCGTTCCCACTCAACTGTGATCATTCAAACACTGACAGAATCCCATGGGTTAAGCAGGATGGCGTCATGGTGAGGCCTTTTTCTTTGTACATTGACTGTAACTATGTAACCACCTTGACCTGAATGAGCAAGTGCAACATATATCTCCTATAGCTCCAAGATAACATCATCTGGAGAAAAATCAGGGAGTCTCTGTCACCTTCTCCACGGTCTCCCCTGCCTTATAAAGAAGAGCACCCAAAGCAGAGTTTCCCTAAGTCTTTAGGTATCACCTTTACCTTTACCCCTAATCATGAACTTTATGTCTTGTGATGTCTTGCTGAGTATAGTTATATGGGGTGGGGGTGGCTGTAGGTTGTCCATCTGAAGGTGAATTCAGTTGCACTGTATCCATGGGCCTTGAGATTCTATTCTCCCCATAAAGCTGGGGGAAATTCTAGCATGTCAACACCAGTAAATGCAGGCCTACTGCCGAGAGCAACTTTAAGCCTACTGACCACATCTTTAGATGGCCATTGTGGTGGTTTTCCGCTTTGGGCGGCTTGTAGACTCTGCCTGGCAGGAACCTGGGACACAGATCAGCCAGGTGCCTCTGACTCAGGGTCTCTCAGAATGAGCTCAAGTCTAATCCTTCACAGCTGCAGCTGTTTACTTAAGGCTGAACTAGAGGAGGATCAGTTTTCCAGGTCACTCATGTGGTTGTTGGCAGCACCAGGGCTTCCCTAGCCGTGGGTTAAAAAGAAATCAGTGCCTATCAGAATGAGTTAAAGTGATATACAAAGAAAGGCCCCAACTTAGTAGGGAAGCATGACAAACCATTATAAACTGGTTGGCTGGAGTGACAGAATTACTTTCTTTCACTTGCCTAGGCCAAAAATCTGAAACGCCAGTGATGCCAGGCTGTCTCTGGAGGCTCCAGAGTAGAATTACATACTTGTCTTTGTTGGGGTTTCCATAGGACATGGTTGCTTTGTCTTGTAGCAATGTTATTTCTCCCACTTCTGTGCTGATACAAACTAGATCCACCCAGAAGGGGAGTCTTAACTGAGGCATTGCCTCCATTAAACTGGCCTGTGAGTTTATGTCTGTGGAGCATTTTATTGATTGGTGCTTGGTGTGGAAGAGCTCAGCCAACTGTGGAGGGTGCTACCTCTGGGCAGGTGGCCCTAGGTCATATAATAGAGCCCATAAATAGGATTCCCACGTGGTCTTTGCTTCAGTTTCTGTCTTCAGGTTCTTGCCCCAGCTTCCCTTAGTGATGCACTGTGGTGGGGATATATTAGGGCAGTAAACATTCTCTTCCCCACCTTCATTTGGGTTTGGGTTTGGGTTACTTCTCCACAGGGATTTATGGCCTCCATAGATGCTTTTGCACACATGTGTGTTCGTGTGAGAGAGAGTGTGTGTGTTATAGTATCAATTGTACCAATTTCTGTGAAAAAAAATCTCATAAATCAGGTAGATATATCTATAGCTGTTGTGCTACTGTTGTACCAGTAGGCACATACTGCCTGGCACATTGGTAGTCTGGCATGCAAGATGCCCACGCAATACATATATATATGAACAGGGCTATCCATTGGTAATTCTCCCCCAGTTTTCTGCACACTGTCTTCCTGTACTTCAAAAGGAAGCCAGCAGCCAAAGAACATCTAGCTTATACCAGCCTGCGAGCTCTATGGCCTGTAACCAAAGCACGGTGTCTCCAGCAGTAGAATCTTACTGCCTAGGTCAGATATGCACCCAACAGTTCCGGCAGTAGCTGATGTTATTGTTGTTAGTGTGTGTGTGTGTGTGTGTGTGTGTGTGTGTGTGTGTGTAGATTTAGTGGTCTCACAGCTCAACAAATTTTAGGGAGATAACTCATTCTCAGCATTAAAGTTTTCATCAACAGTCTTGTGGTTCCCAGGAATGCCTTTTCCTAGCCATGTATAGTCACAATCTTCAACAAATTATCAATTTGCTGATCAGGGAGACCACTGATTTACGCGCACACAGAGTCACAGCTACATGCCTTATCGCTCACAGCAGAGATCATGGAATAGCTATCACACCCTGCTTAGGAGTCTGCCTCATACGGGCTACTTGAGAGAGTGCAGTGCACTCTCTGGTGTCTAAGCTATTTGGGAGAATCACCATACTGCTTGTGCTTGGCATTGAGAATCCAATAAGAGACATAGTGTTTATCCTACATGTCTTGGTTTATATAGGGAAAGTGTGTTTATAGGCAAGGGATTTTTTCTGTCTCTAAATTAGCTAATTCCCAGTGACATCAGCTGTACCATAGATGTCAGTGTGTAAGATATATATGAAAAAAATAGGACTCAAACAAAGAGTAATTGTGAAGCTAATTCCTGATACCAAGCACATCAGGCTAGCAAGAGGAAAACATGATATGAGTCATTTTCCATACATTCCTCTGTTTTTTTCCTCAGATATTACCTGGCACACAAGGCCATCTCTCAAGCTTCTGATTTTGCTCTTGAGGGAAGACCCAGAGAGCACTTAACATGGCTTCTGAAAGTTTCTCAAATCTCTCATGGATGTAGCCGTACTTTGACATCGTATTCCAGCAACTGCTTCCTCTCTGGTGTTGTTCTCCTAACCAGCTGGTGACTCTCCAGGTGGTATGATAAAGCCCAACCTGCCCTGGGGACAGGGTGACAGGGATCCTCTCCTCTGCTGCTGGGCAAGAACCTCTCCAGGTGCGGATATGATGTAACCCATTGAGCATCACAGAAACATGTGCCATGTTTGCCTGTAGCAGAAAAGGAAGGCTCTGAAGTCACTCTGTGTGCTATAAACTACCTGGGCCTGTGGAAAAGACAGTTCCGTAACCTCTATCCAGCTGGTAGGTCTTTCCTCAGCTCGTTCTGAAGAAACGATGATCTTGGCAATAATCTTCTTCACCACTGCATGGCTTGTGGTCCTGGGAGTCAGTGTATGGGTTCTCCTAAAAGAGATCTTCATTGTTCATGTTCCTCTTGGCATGCCCCACCGACTGAGATTTCACATTCTACACTACTTATTCCAGCTGACAATAACATTGGTAAGTTTTGTTTTTGATGACTGAGTCCTGTCAGGGATAGACAGAATCCCAGCCCTGAGAAATAATTTGGCAATGATCCACATAATTTAAGAGCATCTGGTAATATACAGCAGTCAGTGATGATGACAGACATTGTGATAAGGACTTCTTAAATACTGTGTGCCCTCCCCCATACCATGTCCATTTAATGAGCTCTGAGTGCTTTTTCCATTCATATGCCAGCATGGGGACAGTTAATAGGGAAGAAATCCATGGAGAAGGTTTCTGATGAGAAAGACCCTGGAATTAGAGTAATAGAAATTGGGTATGGAATTGTGTGTGGTAGGGAAGCATAAAACTATCAGTCCATAACCAGTTGGGTAAACATGGCCTATTGTTCTTTTGGTAGAAATGGAGCTTTTGGTTAGGTGTTCAAGGGTCTGACATGGTGGGCTCTGTGATTACTAATATATTTTGAGTGTTTATATATTTTTATTTCTTTGAAAATTTCTTCTTCTTCTTATTATTATTATTATCATCATCATCATCATCATCATCATCATCATTATTATTATTATTTACAATTTATTCACTTTGTATCTCAGTTGTAGCTCCCTCCCTCATCTCCTCCCGGCCCCACTCTCCCTCCCTCTTCCTCCCCTATCCCTCTCCCCTAGTCCACTGATAAGGGAGAGTGCTCCTTCCTACTGTCTGACCCTAATCTATCAGGTCCCATCAGGACTGCCTGGATCCTCTTCCTCTGTGAGTTGGCTAGGTTGCCCTACCAGGGAGAAGTGATCAAGGAGCAGGCAACCAAGCTCGTGTCAGAGACTGTCTTTTCTCCCCTTATTAGGAAACCCACATGGAGACTGAGCTGCCTATGGGCTATATCTGAGCAAGGGTCAAGGTCCTCGTTATGTATGGTCTTTGGTTGGTGCATTAGTCTCTTCAGTCCCCCTTGGGCCCAGCTTTATAGGCTTTGTTGGTCTCCTTGTGAGGCTCCTGTCCCCGCTCGGCCCTTTCATATCCCCCTTCTTCCATAAGACTCCCTGTGCTCTGTCCAAAGTTTGGTTGAGTCTCTGCATCCGCTTTGATCCCCTGCTGGGTGGAGTTTTTAAGAAGACATCTGTGGTAGGCTCCCATCTTGCTCGCTCTCTTCTACCTCTTCTGTTTTCCCTCGTGAATGAGAATTAAGCATCCTCCTTGTTGTTTAGCTTCTTCAGTCTGTAGATTTTAGTATGGTTATCCTATATGATACAGCTAATATACACTTACAAGTAAGTATATACCATGTGTGTCTTTCTGCTTCTGGTTATCTCACTTAGGATGATCTTTTCTAGTTCAATCCATTTGACTGCAAATTTCATGATTTCCTTGTTTTTAATAGCTGAGTAGTATTCCATTGTGTAAAGGTACCACAACTTCTATCTCCATTCTTCGGTTGAGGAACATCTAGGTTGTTTCAAGATTCTGGCTATAACGAATAAAGCTGTTTTGAACATAGCTGAGCAAATGTCCTCATTGTATGGTTGAGCATCTTTTGGATATATGTCCAGGAATGGTACAGCTGGGTTTTGAGATAGCACTATTCCCAGTTTTCTGATAAAGTGCTAGATTGATTTTCAAAGTGGTTGTACAAGTATACATTCCCACCAGCAATAGAGAAGGGTTTCCCTTTCTCCACATCCTCTCCAGCATGTGTTGTCACTTGAGGTTTTTATCTTAGCCACCATCTTCTGGTGGGTTTGAGATAGAATCTCAGAGTTTTTTGTTTGTTTGTTTGTTTTTGCATTTCCTTGATGACTAAGGATGTTAAGCATTTCTTCAAGTGTTTCTCTGCCATTCAATATTCCTCTATTGAGAATTCTCTGTTTAGCTCTGCACCCTATTTTTTAATTAAATTATTTGGTTTGTTGGTGTTTAACCCCTGCATAAAAGTAAAACCCAAGTGGATTAAAGCCCTCAACATAAAAACCAGACCCACTAAATCCATTAGAATAAAAAGTGAGAAAGAGCCTAGAACTCATTGGCACAGGAGACAACTTCCTGAACCGAACACCAACAGCACAGGCTCTAAAATCAATGATCAATAAATGGGAACTTATAAAACTGAAAAGCTTCTGTGAAGCAAAGGACACAGTCAACAGAACAAAGCGACAGCCTACAGACTAGGAAAAGATCTTCACCAACCCTACATCTGACAGAGGGCTAATGTCCAGAATATATAAAGAACTCAAGAAATTAAACACCAACAAACCAAATAATTTGTTTGAGAATTTCATACTATGTATTTAGGTAATATTAACCCTTCCTCCCACTCCTGCTATTTCCAACCTCTCCACTTCTACCTCCCAAACTTCTATTTTTCTTTCCATTACTTCTTTTTGTCAAGTCGGGCTTCTGTGTTCTTGGAGTTGGACCTCCCTGTTCTTAAAGTTGTCCACCTCCTAGGACCACATCACTTAAGAAACTGGCTTTCCCTCACACAGACACCATCACGTATCAGTAGCCCCTCACGCAGTGCTGCGGTTTTGCGCCCACCTTCCTCCCCTTCATGCTGAGATGTTGGTCTGTCTTGAGCTGGAGGTCTTGGACATGCTGTCACATTGTTGTAAGTTCATATGTGCTACTTGTATGTGCCTTGGTATGTTCAGCGACCACTGTTTTCATGAAATTTTCTCACTTCCTTTAGCTCTTACAATGATTTTGTCCTTTCTCTGGTGAAAGCCCCTGGGCCTTAGGAGAGGGATATGATACAGATGTCCCATTTAGGACAAAGAGAAATGAGAAAGCAAAGGTGTTCAGAATTTTACAGGCAACCCACTGTAAGAAAGTATGTTTATGGGGAAAGTTACATGCAATAAGATTTGGCTGGGTTTTTTTAAGTCAGTTTTGGAGGAGGGGGGTTAGATTTATTTTTTTTTCTGCCCTTAGGAAATTTATTTTTATTTTTACTTTTTTACTTTTCAGTAAATAACAGGAAAGCAAAAAACCTTTTAATATGACGTCTCTCAGTTGTTGTGAACTCAAAATATTCCTTATTCCAAAGTGTCATGTTTGGGGTGGGATATGATCCATTGCCCTGAAACATCAGATTTTCACAGGTGACAGCTCTTCCACTACTCAATCTGAAGGCACAAGAGCATCACTGATCTCTTGGTGGAGAGTTTTGCACATTTTTCCTCCTTGAGTTTCACCAAATCTGGTTCAACCTTACTGTCCACCAATGGCAGATTTAGTTACTTCTCTGGACTCATTACCTTGCATGGTGTAGACAGGCAGCCTGATCACAGAACACACACCATGATCACAAGGGTGGATATTCTTTTATCCCAAATTAGAAGGAAGAATGCACCTAGGTTCTTAGGGTGATTCTCCAAGTGAATCCCTATTGAATGGCAGGCTGTATAGGAGGGTCAGAAGTACCAAGGTGCAGACCAATGATTATCACCAAAAGTGTCCCTTTCCACAAAGGTTGTTTTGGCAGTGTCTGGGGTAGTTAGTCACCAGGAAAGTTGCTAAGCACCTCCCAAGTTTAATCCAGTCCCACATGTCAGTAGCACCTAAATGACAGACCAGGAAGAGGTCATGTGGGGTCTGCTTTGGGTTCGTGAAGACTAGTTAAGCTCAAGGCTCCAATAGAAAGCAGGATGTCCTTGGAGTCTCTTAATTCATCCTTGTTTTAGTGAGAAAATCCCTCCTGGAAGGTTCATCACAAAAGCAAACTGAGAGAGAAGATAGAAAGCCTACCTAAGTACAGAAATTAAACCTTATTAAACTAGTTAACTTCCAGGTTCTAATCTAGTCTGAAAAGTTAAGGGAACTGGGTAGAGTTGAAAGATACCAAGTCGCCAACTAATTGCTCAAGCTGTCTGATCACACCTTCAGTGGCTTGTGGTAGAGTTGTGAACCTCTTATGAACCTTGGTGCTTTCCTCTATGACAGGGCTCCCTTTCAGACTTTTTTTTTAACATTTTGAGATAAGACCTCACTGTGTAGCCCACGCTGTTCTGGACTTGTGATCCTTTTGCCTTCATTTTCCAAGCATGGAGGTTACAGACATCCACCACTACATTTCGGTGCTTTTGGGGTTTTTGATTCTGTGGACATTGTTAAAGGAAACTGACTGCTCTCAGCAGGGACAGGTTGTTTACAGTGGAATTTCTTAGCTGTTTGAATATCCTCTTCAGGTTTGTGACTTTGTAATTTTATAAGCCTAGATTGTCCATCTCAGTGTTTAGTCACGCTACCGGTCTTTTATTCGGCAAGCATAGGGTGGGCATCTGCGTAGTGCCAAGCTTGGTGAAAAGTATAAGTTATAAAGTTGGGGGAAGACCTGGAGAGGACTGGCAGGAGACAGATCCAGTCCTTGTCAGCCCACCTTGGGAAAGGCTCTTGGAACCTTCCATCCTCAGTGTATTCCAGAGAAGAAGAGGAAACACCTCTCCTTCCTTACTTCCTAGCAAACGAAAAGAGGCTTGTGCACAGAGCCAGTGCTGTGATGTGGTGCGTGGAGCCGATGCTGTGCTGGGTTTATCCCCAATGACACTCTCAGTCTGTGTGTGCCCACTGGGACTCCACGCCCTGGCACATCGGGCTTTGAGTACACCTTCTGAGCAGGTGGTGCCAACAAGGCTCCAAGAACAGGGAGGTGAATGCAGAAGACAAACATCATTCAGAGCTTCCCTTTAGTAGCGAGTGATGCACACTCACGAACATACCTGACATGTTCTCCATCAGCACAGAGTTCAGGGTGGTGGCACAGGAAAGGAGGGGAAGGAAAAAGTATGACATTGGCATCAGGGAGTGTGGTTGTGGACTGTGTAAACCGCTAAACATGTTTTGAGGTCATTGGTGTTTTCCACAATAAGACGAGAGGCCACATGGCAAGCAAGCCCACTTACATCTTAAAGGTGGAGTGCATGGCATGTCCTGGTGTCTATCAACCTGTTAAGAGTGAAAAGTTGAACTCACCACTCTAGCACCAGCTGGCAAAGAAGTGTCAGTTCAAGGCTGACCTGCTGTGAGACATTTGTGGCTACCAGGTTCTAGTCCCACCCTTTGGCACCTCAAAAATCTAAAGTTGCCCTTGACTACAGGCTTACCAGTAGAGTCTATCCCTGTCACTCACACATAAAGAGCACCACATAGTTTCTGACAAGCACGTGGTTGATACTCAGGGTATCATGGAAAAGAGAGCCACCATTGGCAAACTTCACTGTCTGGTAATTTTCATAACCTGCCCACTTTATGGATCCCAGAAAGTCCTGAAGTACATGGAAATTAGTCCTGCTTTGTGGATGAGGAATATGCAAAAATCTGTCACCATGTCATCTAGCTTAGTGCACATAATTTGGGGCGGATTTTGAACTAGGTGTGGACCTCATAGCTACAAAGGCTGAAGAGAGAAACTTCAGTTCTTTGGTGGGCTTTGGCCAGCACTCAGCTTCACCGTGGACTGTGTGACATGTATCACGTGAGTCATAAAGTGACCATGGAACTAGAAACGATGGCTTTTCTCACATTTTTGCTTGCGTGTTTGTTTATTTATTGTTCTTATTTTTCCAATACAGGGTCTTACTGTGTAGCTCTGGCTATCATGGAACTCACTGTGTAGACCAGGTTGGACATAAACTTATAGACATCTGCCTGCCCCTGTCTCCTGAGTGTGGGGTTAAAGGCGTGTCTCACCACTGCCTGATCTCTTGATGTATTTTTAAGGAATGGGTAAAGCAATGTGAAAAGGCACCTATGTACCTAGGAAATGAGGTGCCAATTAGGAGAAATGAGCTGAGAGCTAGCATAAGCCAAAACTATGGAACCACCGGTGTTTGTTACAAAGGCCACTGGCAAATCCTGACAGCAAGGAGGACTAGCTTTTCTCTCATTTCCCAGAGCAAAATGAAGCACTCACCTGCTTACAGGAAACAATTACAGACAAGTAGGGGCTTTGGCGAAGCCCTAAGTTGAGCCACACAGTAGATTAAGCAATGGCAGTAAAGAGGAAGGAATGGATAGATGTAGAAGGTAGCTAACTGATCTTTCCTTCTATCTCTCCCCAGGGGAATTTACTGGAGAAGATGAAAATTTGCAGTATGCCCCGCTTTTTCTGCTTTATACAAGACCTTTTGGTGACAAAGAACAGCTCTGGAGTGTTGGTGAAGAACCTGCATTTCGGCTCAATCCCTGTGAGGCTGTTTCAGCCAAAGGCAGCCTGCTGTGGTCCACGGAGAGGCATTATCTTCTACCATGGAGGAGGCGGCATGTTTGGTGGCCTGGGTAAGAAGTGTCTCTGAGGCACAGGAAAGGAGGGGGAGAAGGTCATGACTGACATAGGTACATCTACATTCCCATTGGGAATTCTTGGGAGGGAGCCAAAGAAAGCAGCAGTCAGAAATCCTTCTGGGGAGGCCAGATTGAGGCTGAGGGTCACATCAATCAATAAGGTTGCAGTTTCCATGGAAGCGTTCCTTTGGTAAGTCTTAGTCCAGGAGGAGCCACAGTGTCACAAGCAGCCAAGTACTGGGTGTGCCTCCTCCCTTCCATCCATTCTCAAAGCCACTGGCTCATCTGAGATCCCAAACTCACACACATTCCTCAGCTCTGCTGGACCACCACAGTGCAGTCCATCTGTAGCCACCCACCACACAGTCTGGGCATTGTGATGGCAGCCCTCTACTCCATTTCTTAAGTTGTAGGCTGTTCCTCTTTCTCAACCATGGGGGGGTGGTGTTTAAAACACACCTTAAAGAGCATTTCTGCGGTCCAGTCCCTTCTTTGGCCCTTTGCTATTCTCTCCCATGCACTCACTTTTTGTCTCCTCCCGCCTTTCCTATGCCACACCACAGACTCCCTTATGCACAGAAGACATGCTGAGCTCAGCACTCTTGGTATTCTGTGCATGCTGCTTTGCTCTTAAAACATGTATCCAATAACTGGCTTGAAACAGGTGAATACCCCCTTGATCTTGGACCTTTTCACAAAAGGCCCTTCTGGAATAGTATCCCCTAACAGCTATTTGCAATTTTTTTTCCTGCCATCCTGAGGCTGAACTCATATGCTCTGATGCCACCCATGACAGCTTTCTTGTTGAATATCTTTATGGCACTGGACACCATCTGAGCTTGCTTTGGTCCCCAACCCCGGTGTTTCCTTATTTTCTGACTTTCTGCCCCTGGCACCAAGAAAGAGGGAAGAACGGTGTGATCTGTGTTGCTGGGTCTCCAGTGCTGGCTTTACTGCTTGCACTTTTTTCTTCTTTTAAAAATTATTATTATTATTATATTTACAATTTATTCAGTTTGTATCCCAGTTGTAGCTCTCTCCCTCATCTCCTCCCAGTCCTGCCCTCCCTCCCTCTGTTTGTACTTTTTGACTGTAGAAACACATGGATGTAATTATCTAGTGATGGTTGAGTGAAAGGATAAGTTTGCAAGGGAACAAATGAGTGAATGGACAATAAGCATAGACGTAGACAAATATAGATGGATGTCCTCCTTTGGTAGAACAGGATGCCATGCTGGTTACTTGCTGCCACCTAGTGGTGGAAATATCCATGGCTGTTCTACACCTGGAGGTGTTGCTCTGATGCCCATAAATTAACTATGATCAGAACACAGGTATGGATGGATCCCACCCCTGCTCAGAAGCATTTTTTTTTTCAATCTCAGAAATCCTTGGAAGCCTCCACCTAGACTGCCAAGCTCTTCAGTGGTGTAAAGCATTAAGAGAAATGTTACTTATATGAGTTGCTGAAGTCCTGGTGCCCTGTTGCTTCAGAGGTCACAGAGATGAGTTACCTATCTTAACCCTGTTCTTCTCACCCCAAGCTGGGTGAGTGGCAGGCACAAAACTCTGAAACTGTAGCAACTTGGGGCTCCTAAGGGGAGGAAGGATGCAAGTGGGCTAGAGTAGGGGAAAGCTGAACAGGTGGGAGGGCCAAGGTTGTAACTAAGAGGGACTCCATGTTGGCTTTCCATTAGTTGCCACACCCACTCCCAGTTCTCTCCTAGAAGCCAGTTCAGCCCCTGACTAAGACAGTCCCAGATGCCTATCCTTAAGAGAGACTGAATGATGCTAATATACATCAAGGTTAAAGTATGATTGTTCAGAACCATGATTACAGGAGCTAGCCTCCTCCCTCAGCTGCGACTCCTCGGTGCTTTGGCCTCAGCACCTGTTTTCTCTTCTTGCCATTATCATTGAAGGCCCTTGTTTCCACCTAGCAATGGCCCGCTATTACTACATTACTTGGTAACATTTTAAAAATCTTGGTTCCTGAGTTCCCACTGCAGAGCTTCTGGTCCAGTGAGTTTGGGCATCCTGAGCAGAACATGGACACAGACTACCCCTTGCCTCTGTAAGAAGAGCCAGGGCAGGACACAGATGAGTTGAAGATGCATTTCACTGGTTCTGTGCCTGACACTGTACCTGGATGTGAAAGCGAGTAATCTTAGAGGCTCCACCTTCTGGAACTTCAGATGTACCACCCTCTTAACTTTGCGTATTTTTATTCAGTATGAAGTAGAGAAAATTATTCATATTCCCAGCATATCTTTCCAAACTCCACAGCCTTGGCTTTGTCTGTTTCAGGTCCCCCAGGCTTCCAAGTCCTCAGTTTCCTCACTGTAAAATGCAATAACACAGAAGATGAGCCACAAAGTCCCCTCGAGCCCTGACACTGAGGTGGGGAGTGGTGACTGGCTTTGCCTGGCAGATCTGTCCAGAGGTGGCAAGAGTCAGAACACAGGGGGATGTCACGTTCTTACTTGGAGCAGAAGCTTCTGCCCTAGCGCTGTGGTAGAGAGTTCCAGACCCTTCTCATGGGCTGCATTAGACCCGCTTTTGTCTTACAGATTGTTACCACAACGTGTGCAGTTATCTGGCCCAGGAGACAGATTCAGTGCTGCTGTCAGTGGGGTGAGTAGCTGATAGTAGACATTGACTTCATCAGGGATCTGAATGAGCTGAGGTAGAGTGAATGCAAGATTACACAGCCCTACTCTGCTCTGGGCCAGCCCCTGGCCAATCAGTAAGTGAAACAGAAGGCACATCATGATGTGAACGAATCTAGACAGCAAAAACATTAAATAATAAGCTTTTCAACAGCTTACACCAAACCCTATGTCTTCTTTATCATTGTCTAAAATAATTAAAATCAGTAGGATATATTCTGTGGATAACCAGAGACACAATAAACTGATGTTAGAGGAAAAAAAAAAAAAAGTGATGGATCCAGGAATCAGAGTGTCTTAGTCACTTTTCTGTTGATGTGATCAAACATCACAACCAAACATAATATGAAGAAGAAAGGATTTATTTCAGCCTATGGATCCAGGAGGACAAGAGTCCATTATCCTAGGAGGCTAGGAAGCGTAGCAGCTAGCACCAGGCAGGGCAGCAGGAGAAGCAAACCGAGAGCTCACGTCCTTGACCACAAGCAGGAAGCAGAGAGTGAACACGAAGTGGGACAAGGCTACACCCAAAGCCCACTCGAAGTGACTTACTTCCTCCAGCAAGGCTCCAGCTCCCAAAGGTTTCACAACCTTGATAAACAGTGCCACCAACTGGAAAAACCAAATGTTCAAATATCGGAGCCTGTGGGGGACATCCCTCATTCAAACCATCACACAGAGGAAACTTGTTCTTAGCAGGCTGGCATTGGCCTGGGGATGGTGATGGAGGACTGAAAGATGACCCAGATCAAGGTCAAGGTTATTGTTGGAGAGACGATTCTGAAAGTTCTCTGTGTGCTGTTAAAAAAACTCACCTGCCCAAATACCAGACACACGAGAACCAGAGTGGAGAGTGACTTAAGACCCTATTATTGTCTTCTGGAAACAAAAACGGGGTTTTGAGTGAATGAGGGACAAAGGGGGCTGCTCACTACAAATTCTGCTTCTTGTTCTATAAGAACATGAGTTCCTTGCTCCAAAAGAACATAGTAAACTTTGAAAACAAAGCAGAGAAAAAGCCAACACTGTTCCACTGCCTCTGCACCTTGGCTTCCCTCAGGCTGGGTAGACAGTGCAGACACGGTGACTGGAGAAAGTTACTAAGTGGATTAGCCAGGGTTCTCTAGAGCAACAGAACTGGGAGAATGAATATATTAAAAAAAAATTTGTTAGAGTGGCTTATGGGCTGTGATGGAGCTGTCTTCTAATGGAAAGACCAAGGCTGGATTTTTTTTTTTTTGTCACTTGATTTTTTTTAATCTTTTTTTTATTTATTAATTACACTTTATTCATTTTGTATCCCCCCATAAGCCACTCCCTCCTCCCCTGCCGATCACACCCTCCCTCCCCTTTCTGCATGCATGCCACTCCCCAAGTCCACTGATAGGGGAGGTTCTCCTCTTCTTTCTGATCTTAGTCTATCAGTTCTCATCAAAAGTGGCTGCATTGTCCTCTACTGTGGCCTGGTAAGGCTGCTCCCCCCTCAGGGGGAAGTGATCATCGAGCAGTCCAATCAGATTATGTCAGAGGCAGTCCCTCTTCCCATTACTATGTAACCCATTTGGACACTGAACTGCCATGGGCTACACCTGTGCAGGGGTTCCAGGTCATCTCCACGAATAGTCCTTGGTTGGAGTATGAGTCTCTGGGAAGTTCTCTGTGTTCAAATTATCTTGTTCTGTTGCTCTGCTTGTGGAGTTCCCGTCCCCTCCAGCTCTTACTATTTCCCACTTCTTACATAAAATTCCATTCACTCTGCCCATCAGTTGGCCATCAGGCTCAGCATCTGCTTTGACAGTCTATACTGCAGAAGCTTTCAGAGGCCCTCTGTGGCAGGTTTCAAGGTTGTTTCCTGTTCTCTTCTGGCTTTCAGAGGCCCTCTGTAGCGGGTTCCGAGGTTGTTTCCTATTTTCGTGTTCTTCTGATGTCCATCCTCTTTGCCTTTCAGGATGGGGATTGAACATTTTAGTTAGGGTCCTCTCTTTTGCTTAGTTTGTTTAGATGTACAGATTTTAGTGGGTTTATTCTATATTGTATGTTTATATGAGTGAGTATATACCATGTGTGTCTTTTTGCTTCTGGGACAACTCACTCAGGATGATCCTTTCCAGGTCCCACCATTTACCTGCAAATTTCATGATTTCCTTATTTTTCATTGCTGAGTAATACTCCATTGTATAGATGTACCACAGTTTCTGCATCCATTCTTCAGTTGAGGGGCATCTGGGTTGTTTCCAGGTTCTGGCTATTACAAATAAAGCTGCTACAAACATGGTTGAGCAAATGTCCTTTTTGTGTACTTGCGCCTCTTTTGGGTATATGCCTAGGAGTGGTATGTCTGGATCTTGAGGAAGCGCTATTCCTAGTTGTCTGAGAAAGCGCCAGATTGATTTCCAGAGTGGTTGTACAAGTTTACATTCCCACCAGCAGTGGAGGAGGGTTCCCCTTTCTCCACAACCTCTCCAGCATGTGTTGTCCCTTGAGATTTTCATCTTGGCCATTCTGATGGGCATAAGGTGAAATCTCAGGGTTGTTTTGATTTGCATTTCCCTAATGGCTAATGAGGTTGAGCATTTCTGTAAGTGCTTCTCTGCCATTCGATATTCCTCTACAGAGAATTCTCTCTTTAGCTCTGTTCCCCATTTTTTAAGTGGATTACTTGGTTACTAAACAAGCATTTCAGCTTGTTTAGTTCTTTATATATATTGGATATGAGTCCTCTGTCAGATAAAGGGTTGGTGAAGATTCTTTCCCAATCTGTAGGCAGTCGCTTTGTTTTGATGACGGTGTCCTTTGCTTTACAGAAGCTTTTCAATTTCATGAGGTCCCATTTATTGATTGTTGCTCTTAGAGCCTGTGCTGTTGGTGTTCTTTTCAGGAAGTTTTCTCCTGTACCAATGAGTTCTAGGGTATTCCCCACTTTTTTTTCTAGCCGATTTAATGTGTCTGGTTTTATGTTAAGGTCTTTGATCCACTTGGACTTCAGTTTTGTGCAGGGTGATAAGTATGGATCTATTTTCATTTTTCTACATGTAGCCATCCAGTTGGACCAGCACCATTTGTTAAAGATGCTATCTTTTTTCCATTGTATGGTTTTGGCATCTTTGTCAAAAATCAGGTGTCCGTAAGTGTGTGGGTTTATTTCTGGGTCTTCTGTTCGATTCCATTGATCCACCATTCTGTTTCTATGCCAGTACCATGCAGTTTTTATAACTGTTGCTCTATAGTACAGCTTGAGATCAGGGATGGAGACACCTCCAGAAGATCTTTTATTGTAGAGGATTGTTTTAGCAATTCTCGGTTTCTTGTTATTCCATACGAAGTTGAGAATTTTTCTTTCCAGGTCTGTAAAGAATTGTGTTGGCAATTTGATGGGAATTGCATTAAATCTGTAGATTGCTTTTGGTAAGATGGCCATTTTTACTATGTTAATCCTGCCAAGCCATGAGCATGGGAGATCTTTCCATCTTCTCATATCTTCCTCTAATTCTTTCTTCAGAGACTTGAAATTTTTTTCATACAAGTCTTTGACTTGCTTGGTTAGGGTTACACCAAGGTACTTTATGTCATTTGTGGCTATTGTGAATGGTGTTGTTTCTCTAATTTCTTTCTCAGCCCTTTTGTCTTTTGTATACAGGAGTGCTACTGATTTTTTTGAGTTAATTTTGTATCCGGCCACTTTGCTGAAGGTGTTTATCAGCTGTAGGAGTTCCCTGGTAGAGTTTTTGGGGTCACTCATATATACTATCATATCATCTGCAAATAGTGATAATTTGACTTCTTCCTTTCCCATCTGTATCCCCTTGATCTCCTTCGACTGTCTTATTGCTCTAGCAAGGACTTCCAGCACTATGTTGAAGAGATATGGAGACAGTGGGCAGCCTTGTCTTGTCCCTGATTTCAGTGGGATTGCTTTAAGTTTCTCTCCGTTCAGTTTGATGTTGGCTATAGGCTTGTTGTATATCGCCTTTACTATGTTTAGATATGTGCCTTGTATCCCTGATCTCTCCAATACTTTAAACATGAATGGATCTTGGATTTTGTCAAATGCTTTTTCAGCATCTAGGGAGATTATCATGTGGTTTTTTTTCTTTCAGTTTGTTAATATGGTGGATCACATTGATGGATTTCCGTATATTGAACCACCCTGCATACCTGGGATGAAGCCTACTTGGTCATAGTGGATAATATCTTTGATGTGTTCTTGGATCCGGTTTGCAAGTATTTTGTTAAGTATTTTTGCATCAATGTTCATAAGGGAGATTGGCCTGAAATTCTCTTTCTTTGTTGAGTCTTTGTGAGGTTTAGGTACCAAGGTGATTGTGGCTTCATAGAATGAGTTTGGTAATGTTCCTTCTGTTTCTATTTTGTGGAATAGTTTGAAGAGAATTGGAGTTAGCTCTTCTTTGAAGGTCTGGTAGAATTCTGCGCTGAAGCCATCTGGTCCTGGGCTTTTTTTGGATGGGAGACTTTTGATGACTGCTTCTATTTCTTTGGGGGATATAGGACTATTTAATTGATTTACCTGGTCCTGATTCAGCTTTGGTGAGTCAAATCGATCAAAAAAATTGTCCATTTCATTTAGATTTTCAAATTTTGTGGCATATAGACTTTTGAAGTAAATCCTAATGATTGTTTGGATTTCTTCAGTGTCTATAGGTATGTCCCCCTTTCATTTCTGATTTTGTTGATTTGGGTGGTGTCTCTGTGCCTTTTAGTTAGCTTGGCTAAGGGTTTGTCGATCTTGTTGATTTTCTCAAAGAACCAGCTTTTGGTTTCATTGATTCTTTGAATTGTTTTATTTGTTTCTAATTGATTGATTTCAGCCCTGAGTTTGATTATTTCCAGCCGTCTACTCCTTTTTGGTGTGTCTGCTTCTTCTTTTTCTAGGGTTTTTAAGTGGGCCATTAAGTTGCTTGAATGAGCTGTCTCGAATTTCTTCTTGAAGGCACTTAGTGCTATGAA